TTACGTGTCGTAGGAATGGAAGGCCCTAATAGCTAATAAGAATTTACTGTCTAGCAAAGATATTCGTATATTAATCGATTTTAATTTATAGAAAATTCCACTGTAACAATTTAATCATAATTATAAAAGTAATGCAGCTGAATCTGCAAGTGAACACGCATAACCCTGTTAGTAAATAAAATAATTATTTGGATAGTATAAACAATGAGCTATTGAGAAGTTTGCAATTTTTATATGAAAAATTAAATATCAAAATTTCTATAGTAGATGTGGGACGTTTGGAAAATACAATTTAATATTAGATAATAGCAGTAGTAAAATGGCACTATTATTCTTCGCTCGAGGTTACAAAATTTCAATGATTTTTCTCCAAACAGTACACGCACATTTGAACATTTTAACGCACTCGCCTATTTATCAATGTTATTGTAGGCCACATTATTCTAAGGTAGACTCAACCTGACAGATGTGGCGTAGTTTCACACGAATTGCAACTCACACAAATACTTAATTTTTGTGTCTATGTTTGAGAACTCTACTTAGCCCCCGTTGAATAGAATGCGTGTTCTGTGTGATCGCGCTAACAGCGCGAACAGTAATACATCATTAGTCTGTTAGCCTTGTAATACATCATTAGCTGGAGATCTTGAGCTATATGCATTACCTCCTATTTTGATCATTAAACAGTACACAAAAGTCTGCAATTATTGAATTCGAGGCAAACATTGTAGACTGATAATGTTACACAAGTTGTTAGTTCTAACTCAGAAATATACTAGCCTTATTAAAGCCGTTAGAGAAGATAATAATACTTAAATTTCTGAATGATAAAAAAGGAACTCTTTACCTAAATAAAGATCCGTTATCCACAGGCATTTTTATTTTATTATTTCTCGATGCTTATTATAGTGAATATGTCGTTCATTCATGATTTTCTGTGTTTACAAATTTATTTTATTTTTGTAAAAATATTAAATAATATTATCCGTATAATCATTAACAATAACAAATTTGTACGCATGGAATGAATACATACGCTCGGGGCCCCGTCGTATTTTCTGCAACCTCAACAACACATGTGATCGTTTTCCCACGATCAATATTATGTTCACAGGATATTCTCTCACGGTTGCTGCAGTTGCTATCAGTGCCTGATCACTCATTTTTTTAGTGTGGAAAATATCTCAACAAATATTTTGTGCTTAGATTATTTTAAGAACCGAAATTTTTCTACATTCAGCTCACTCTGCATTAAAAGGAGCTTTCTTACGTGTATAACCTGCGTAGAGAAGCATAGTGGTTTACCATCTCGGCGGTCAAAATGAACGAAAAGCGAAAAAGTGAATTTGAATATTCACGTTTTATGGTGTGGTGCTAACATGGGAAGAATATCCAATGGAGATATGACATTCTTTTGCGATCGAATCGTTATTGATAGTTTAATTATGATGGTGGCCATTTCAGTTACAATGAGAATGTGCAGATTGTGTGCTGTTTTTAGAAAGAGATTGTTAGAATACAATAAGGAAGCTTTATAATTAAAAGACAAGAACTGTCACGTGTTATCGAATTCCAGAATGTTTCTGAGTAATAACTATTTATTCAGTAAAAGGTACATTTTCAATATTGATGAGTCTTTAGTTAGTAAATGAAATTATAATACGCCTCAATAAAGTGCAGTTTTTCCTCGAAAAACAAACCGTAGCATTATATTGCTGTAGATGAAATCCATTAATGTGTTTTGTCTTATAAATACTCGCAGTAAATTGGTATTTGCCTGTTTGTAATCAGTCTTAGAACGTCTACTCCAATTCAAGCTTGCCAGTTAAATTTCTGAATGATGGCAGTCAATCAATTTGAAAATACCAGCTGCATGATTTAATAGGCAATAAACTAAGAGTGATGTATTTTTACAAATAATTACACAAACTTTACTATTCCTGAAGTATATCTTGATACCTTTCCTTTCAATGGACGATGTTTTCGATGAATAAATGCTTTAGATCATACAACATACGGCATCAAGCTACTTATGTTTGTAACACAGCACGTTAGGTAATGGATAGAATAAAATTCATCGGTAAGATTGAGAATTAATCTTTCGAGGAATATCTTGTAAAATACATTTTGATACAGGCAAGCACAAAATTAACTATTTTCAGAAATTTTCAGAAATTTGATCGTGAACACCTTTTAATGAGCTTGTATGTTTCAAAAAAGATTTTAGAAAATAAACTTATTATGGCGGTACAATGACGTCAAACAAACGAGAAATTTCTAATAATTTCAAGAATTCAAAAGAAGTGGAAGTTTATTTTAGCACATATTTTGTTTTTGAGGTAGGTAGGAAAATGTCAAATTTGCCTCGCCAACCTTCACCGGAAATAGAAAATGTATTTTATTAAATGCAAATACAGCATTTTTATAACACAGGGTAATTTGATTAGTGAAAATTGCATTGAATGAAAATGAAACGGAAACAGCAAATTAACGTAATACCACATTTCGCAGAGTATTTTCCCGAGTAATTTAATTACAGTACTATACTAGATGAAGTATTCTGTGTTGCTCGGGTATTTATTAATCACAAGCATCTATTAGGGGAAAAATTTATTCATCTATGGTGTATCCTCGCCATTTCCTGCCTAAAGAACTCTGGCTTACCTGATCTGAACTTTTCCCATTACATCCGTTGCTAATTAATACTGATCTACAACATTTTGAACGTGATTTGTTTCAGTTCAAAGTTTCGTTTATATAACCAACATCAATGAAGAGCACATGCGGCTTGACAACTTACATCCGAAAATATGATTATTTACAGAGTATTATTGTTTTATGTCATCCAGCTGAAAATTATTTTAACATACTTCAAATAGTAAATAAATGCTAAAAATTTAACAAAATATCCACGTTAATTTCATGGATAACATTCGAAAAGAAGAACACCATTTTATAAATATTGTATTGGAGCACTTCCAGCCACGCCCACAAACCGCCTCTGCTACGCGAGTAATGTCTCGCGCCGTCTCATCCCGTCACCCTGCACCCGGGCTACACGCCTTTCCACGAGCACACACAGCGCGGCCGCCACCGCAGCGAGGAGCGCGTGGATTCAACGCAGTGGCGCAGGCGGGGAACCGATGGAGATGGCGGAGGCGGCGGGGAGCAGATGGAGATGGCGGAGGCGGCGGGGGTGGGCGAAGGAAGGGAAGTGCGAGCGAAGTCGGCGGGGGCGGTGGAGACGAGGGACTGGGCAGAGGTCATGACGGCGCTGGGGGCGAAGACGAGGGAGGCGGCAGAGGTCATAGCCGCGGCGGAGGGGGTGGAGACGAGGAGGTGTCAGAGGTCATGGCGGCGTCGGAAGGGGGAGGGGGAGGAGGGGGCGGAAGGGAAGGAGGCGGAGGTGGCTCATCCTTAAGGCAATATAACTCCTGGCCTCCGCTTGCGTGGGCCGCAGAAAAGGTTCAAGGGAGAACAATGGTTTCTGCAAGGAAAACAAAAGGATAGCGGAGAAGATGGGCTATGTGAAGGGAATGAAAGAGTAGGAAGGACTCAGAAAAATAGGGATGACATGAACGAGGGAATTAAAATAGGGGAGAACGCACGGATATTGAGACGAAAGAAAAGGAAACTCTAGATGAAGCCGGAAAACGAAATCGGAGGGTTGAAAGTAACAAAGATGACACGAACGTTTACATTAAATTGATTATGGGTGCACAATACATGTGTGAAGAAACTATGTTTGCTTTGATGGAGGGGACAAACAATTATTTCTACACTCACACAGACGGAAAAGAAAGAAGTTCCAAAGAACGGCCTAAGAAATATGATTCAATAGAATTAAAACGTGTAATAGAAGACCAAACGAAAATATTCGTCTTTCTTGTATTAACTATGATGACAGATGGCGATTTAAGTGCATAGAACAAATGAAGAGAGGAAACATGTCAGGCAATGGTTACTGACGTTGTACACTGTATTATCCTATGGCTTCCTTTCTTACAACATAAGGAATGTGATAAAAGAATAGTAAAGAGAAACGTGTGGTTAGAGAAAGGGAACAGTCGACATAAGAGTTGTTGGGCGTTAAAACTACGAAAGACTGATGCATTAACCATCTGGGGAAATTAATGTGTGAAAATGATAAGAATAAAACGCAAGAGATGCAAACACATCAGAAAGGACATGCGAATGATACAAGAAGGGGAGATGGAAGGTCGTGCATTCTATTTATTTTTTTGGTTAATTATTTTGTGATTTGGGGCGCTTCAACCAGCGCATTAGTACCTTACGTTTAGTACACATTTTTCCTCGGGAGATGGCAGTGAACTTCCTCTTCAGAAAGCTGAGATATAACTTTAACCTACACCTCTTTCCCAAACCAGGTATCTTTCACAAGCGGGGCACCGTTCCCATTCGGGTTCAACTCATCACTACCAACACGCCTATCCACACGTGAAGTGATGAGCATTATGTGTATGTAAGTAAGGAATGAGGGGAAAACAAGGAAGAGGAGGAAAATACCGAGTGCGGTCAGTGGCCCGTTTATTAAGGTACTGCCCCAGCATTCACCTGGTGTTGACAGGAGAAATCTCATAAAATTACCAATCAGAACAGTCGACCGCTGCAATTCTCCTCCAGACAGCGGCTAAACTTGATCCAGCTAAGTTGGTAGTGTGAAAAATCCTGCCACCGTCGGGAAAGGAACCCTAGAACCTGCCGGTCAGAGACACTGCCCTACCCTCTGCTGATGCCCTGAACCTCCCAATCCAGCCGTGCATTCAATTTACCAGCCGGTGAGAGACGTTAAACCAAAAAATGCTGACGAGGCAGCGTGTGAGCGAAAGACAACGAGGAAAAGTAGCTGAAAGAGGCGCGAGCGGCGCGGGCGTCGGGGCGAAGAGCGCAGCGGGCGGCGCGACGGCCCCCGACGCCTCGCGACGCGTCGTTCGCCTGGCGCGATGCAACATGCATGGCAGGCGAGCGGGCGCACTTACCGACATGAGTATCTTGGCGGCTCGCCGGGCGAATTGCTGTGTGTCGTCGTTCCACCGCACCTCCAGCAGGCTCCTGCAACACACACGCGGCGGCGGAGGTCAAGCCTCGGGTCAACATCAAACTTTCACGCCCGTGAGCAACCGTGATGCGGCGCCGGCGCGGCGAGACGCTCTATTATTCATGGCGGCGGCGGCGGCGGCGACGGCGGAGGGCGGGTTGGCGAGGCG